TGAGGTTTTCATGATGGCGGATGATTGATGCAACGATTGAGTGTTTTATCATGATTCAGTAGAGATACTCTGTGGTTTACTTTACAGCAGTCATTGGAAACGAGAAATCACTGAACGGCTATCCTGTTCCAGTACCGGATCCCTCAACAGCGCGCATCAGTCACTGGTGATCGAACTGAGGACCTCCAGTTTTCGCGACTAGACCTCAACATGTAGATCACTAAATCAACAATATCGTGAATCGACTGAAGTTAAAAATGATAATCATCGTGTATGACTCATCGGTCTAAAGATTAAGCGTACACTGCGCAACCCATAGTTCCCTGGTTCGAGCCCCAGTAGAATCGTAGATACAGACTTTTGAGGAGCACTATACTAGGATGAAGCAGCTACCCAATACTTCTTGCTCTACACTGGTTCTCTTAATAAGACCGGCCTGTGATGTAAACTATCGAACCCTACAGTTTTCACAGTCTCTTCATTCTACTAAGAATAGAAAAATTATCGTATTCACAATGCACTCATGAAGATTCTCTTGTCATTGAGATTAACTAACTGATGGGTTATATGGCCTTGATATTGTCCGTTAAGAGTTAGTTGACTATCGATAAATGATAGGACTCCATATAGCTGACTACCTTTAGATGCCATTTAACACTAAATCATCATACTCTATAAACTCTTCTTTTCAACCTTTGTAGACATCAACTTCTAGATGAACTACACACAAAAGTTCATCAACTACATTCGATACACGTAATGATTACAGTAGTAACAACAGTAATTTATCCATTACTATTTCTTTGCATCATACAAATAGTCAGCATGATGGTCGTGTATCACCATTTATTGCTAAAGTTGCTCGTTTAGGTAGCCAACCAACCCTTCCCTGAGCCCTCCTTTACGGTTGTTTCTAAGTACTATTAACTCTTTTGATGTCTGCGTCGGGTTTGCGGGAGTTTTATGATGTTCACAATGTACGTGTCACCCACCTCCGGCATTTTCCCTTATTTCTTTTCCAGGTGTGTGCTGGTTTGTTCTGTAGAATCATGGACGTAGTTGGTATTAGTTCACCTACAATAATGGGCCTGTTCCACAATTGTGGATTTGCCATGACATGAGTATCAAGCATATCAGACCTTATGAGGAAGTTACATTATTATCTACACTGACTCGTTTTGTAATGACAGTAAGTGGTTGCGGCCAAGGACTTCTAAAGAATACATATGAGCCGGGCAGAGAAAATTGTAATAATATAGAAAGCGTATGATTCATTGTGGTGACCATCTTTGGATGGCGGATTAATGCCATGCAAATAAAGCGTTCTTGCATTCATCATTTTTGTGACCTTCACGAGGTATTAAATTTTAAATGTGACTTCACTCAGTTATCATATATCCGTGTTCATGGATCATTTGCTAGAAAACCAATGTCACTACAGTTCCCTGCCAAATTATGTTCATTATAGTGTCCGACCTCCGGATCTAGAGTATCTTGTATAAATGGTAGTTGTTAAATACTTTAATTTTTTGATGATTTGTGTAGTTGTTCTTAAAGTTCTAGCTGCGTATAATATAGCTGTCTTGATCTTTGTATTGAAGATTCTAACTTTGGTGTTAACTGACAGTACTTTTGAGATTCAGAATGCTGTCCTTGCCTCTCCAATTTGTGCTTTCATATCTTCATTATTTCCTTACTGTTTATCGACTATGTTGTCCAGATTTGTGGACGTTCTCACCTCTTCGAGAGCTCGTTCATCAAGTGCAAATTGGTTGTTGTTCGTTGCGTTGTATTTTTAGATCGTGCTCCTTTCCTTGTTTGTGTTGTGTCCTATTGTTTAGGAGGCTGTTGCTGTACTGGCTCTCTCTACCACAATTGTTGCTGGGTTTAGGATAGAATAGATAAATCACCCACGGGGCTGGCTGAACTAAACATTCCTAGTGCGTCTGACGCGCCTTCACTTTTCATATACGAAAACCGAGGGTTTGCGAAGATGCTCAAAGAGGTTCTTAAACGTAGAATATCTTACTTGTCAGGTGATTATCAATTTTTCCGTCGGATCACCAACTAGCAGTACTACTTATCTGAAGATGCGGTTGAAATCTTATGAGCGCGTTAAAAAGTCGAGCCAACTGTACACTTCTATAGTCAGGATTAACACGTGCCATACGACCCACAATCCCTCCTAGGTGAAAACTGGAAATGAAATAGAATAGTTTACAGAAAGATAGAGATACAATCATGAATCTTCTGGTAATGAGTGATAGATGGAGCAAAACACTCAGTCTTAAGGACAGAGCGAGCCTAATGCACCAATAATACTTGGAGACAATAATGCGTGTCTGGGCAATAAGTTTGAAGTATGACATTCTGCGTAATTTCCAAGTTACGTTCGGCCTAATTAAGAGTATGAAAATGCGTTTTCACCGCCACGCTAGAATGGTTAAGAATACAGTATAGCGTATATCCAGACTGATTACGTAACCAAATAGATTTAAGCCCAAACTTTATGTAGGATGCATTAAAACGCTGGATCGTTATTCATTTAATTATAGGCGACTCATAGGTGAGGTATGATATATATCCAAAAATAAGCTTAAATGAGCCTAACGTCACAAAAGGAGGGAGGGTGGAGTTACTGACCAGCAAACATTGATGGTGAGGGCGATGACTTTAATCCACCCATGTTTATGAGGAAGAAGAACATTCTGTGGTAAGATGGTGGTTGGAGGTGGTCAACAGGAAGCCCTGGACCCGGGTTTCGTGCTACTTGGCACTCGTCAGCAAGGTGTACCTGTAATCCTGAGGGAACTGATGCTCCCTAGCGGATTCGATCCCGCGTCACTCAGCTTCACAGTCAGAGACGTTACCACTGAGCTATTCGGGCCGCGACCAACCTCCTGTAGGACTGAGATGTAATTACAATTGATTGATCACTGGATGGTGATCAATCTCATGCATGTCAGGTCCTTCTTAGTGCTGATCGAATGCTATCGATCGAGGTGCAATGTGGCCACCAGTCTAGGTGGCTCGACACTGCTTGCACTATATATACTGAGGTAAGATGGTGGTTGGAGGTGGTCAACAGGAAACCCTGGACCCGGGTTTCGTGCTACTTGGCACTCGTCAGCAAGGTGGCCACATTGCACCTCGATCGATAGCATTCGATCAGCACTAAGAAGGACCTGACATGCATGAGATTGATCACCATCCAGTGATCAATCAATTGTAAGAACATTCTGTTTCCATAGGTCTTTTTATGATTGAGAACAAGTCAATCAATCTGTGATATTGAGGTTGTTCTCGTACACTCACCATTCAGACTAATGTTTCTAATTTTTATGCTGGATTAACTATTCTACTAAGACAACCTATAACATGCTAACTTGGACTGTTATATTAGGACTTTGGGGCAGGCATCTGACGGAGAGAAAAAAGAAAGAAAAAACAGGCAATAAAGGATATAGTTATTAGTTTTCTTAACACTTTACTCTCTATATGTGCTCTCTTGTATTAAACAGCCTTCTTTAGTCCAACCTTGACCTCTCTTCCTTCATTTGAACTAAATCCATCTTGATAAATATCACAACTCATTGTTCTTTATTACTGCATTCTCTCATCTGGAGCTTCTGATCACATTTCACTCTAACGGCAAGAGCCAGTATGAATTTAATCTAATAATTTAACATACCTCTGTTCCACTACAAAGTGTTAAGCATTGTTTAACGTCCATATCCAAATGCCCTACTGCTCCTCTGTTTCTTTTTTTTCAGAATCTTGCTTTGAAGGCAAAGGTATGAAACTTCTGACATCTGGAACAAACTCGACGTACGAGTTTTCCCAAGGTCATAGTTCACACCAAGCGCCCTAAAAGTTTACTCTATAACAACTATAAACTTGAAAGATTGCATTGTATAAATACTTAGCATGACCAAACTCCTAACACAACTTTGGATCTGGTGCGTAAGGTGTACGCTATGCCACTTTAGAAAATATTTTGAAGACTACACAATATATCCGAAAGAATGAACTGATATTCACTTTTATAGATTATATTTACAAAGCAACCCTGATTGGGATGCATGCTGTGAACCAATAAATGTTGTAACTTGTAGATTATGCCTGTAAAAATAGTGTGTACCTGCCATTGCAGAAATATATTATCACTAATATTATTTCAGTAACACATAGCGTCTTAAAAACTGATGTATGTTCTTTAACTTCTTACATATGTTCTGTGCCAGGGCAAGTCTTACGGGCATAACCCATAAATCAGAGGCGGAACATAGCAAACTGCGGAGAACGCACACCTCTTACTCTTTGTGAGTATTCAGACCTTGGGGCCCGCCATTAGCTAAGTTAGTCCGGAAGGAGGAAACGTTTTCTATTCTAAAAGAATCAAGACAGAATTACATTCATGGTTCTGTAGTCACTAACAATCAAGTAACCCCGGAAACAGCGTATTGTATTGAAATGAAACTCATGATTTCATTCGAGCGGTCAGGTCTGTATTCCGGTAAAGAGTACAAACCGCTCACACTGTTACTTATTTAACGTGCCTGAAATGTTTGTAGATCAATATAATAGTGGAATATTATTAACAGATAAATGGTTAGGCAAATAAACAAAGGAACACCATAAAAATACACGTATAAGGCTTTCGAATTAATCACACCACTGAACTCAAGTTAGCCGATAGGATTTAACTAATGCATTTGACAGTCGTACGTTCTGTCAGACCTCTTATTACGAATAAGTATACTGATGCGCGAATTTAACATGTTTGTTTCAAATACTATAGACAGCTTCCACTCACTACAGGTTGTCAAGTTTCCGGATTATGTACTATCTGGAGTGACCCTGGAATGTCCAAGGGAATCTTTTAAAAGTCAACTTGATATATATTTAGGAATATTACTATGTAGCTAGATCGCAATCTGAGGATATGGGTAGACATACATGGAGGCTCGTTGAACAATTACTTCCAGTATTCCGTCCATAACTGTCTGAGCTAGCGATTTATTTAAAATGACTTCAGTTTTTAGACCACATTATAAGCAAGGAGAAAAATATATAACAATATGCTTTATAACTTTGTTTTTATTAATGGTTAGCTAGGTCACTACTCATTGATATCCGGTTTCAGGACACTGAACTATGAACAGGTACGGTCGCTCTCCACCGAGAATTGATGGGATGGTATCATTGAAAGTTGATAACTTGGCATACAGAACAACTATTGATGACTTGCGAAGAGTTTTCAGCCGATTTGGTGAAGTTGGTAAGTGATGCGTGTTCTAAAACACGCCCCCATGTGGAACTTCGTTTACACACCTTTCGTCACAGGTGATATCTACATACCAAGAGATCCCTACACTTTCGAGAGTCGAGGATTCGCTTTCGTTCGGTACTGCACTGACCGTGAAGCAGACTGTGCCATACGCGGCATGGATGGCCATAAGGTAGATGGACGAGAGGTCAGGGTACAAAGAGCAAAATATGGCCGACCAACTCCAAACCGCCGAAGGTAAGAATAATCTAACTAAGACTATGTAAGCATTCATTGCCTAACGTCACAAGTTGAGTTTCATTTCTCATATAACAATGTCTAACCTGAAGAATTGATCCAAGTGAATGTTAACTAATCGCATGTATGAATGTCGAAACAAGTCAGCGATCACAATGATGCGTTGGGTAGGGTCTGTTGTGTTGGGATAAAGTGGTTGTTTCGACAATGCACGTCAGTTCTGAGTGTCGAGTCAAAAGATAGATGGTGTCTAGAAGGCTTAATTTTGTTGACCTTTTATTTATCGTTAATGTTTCTATTACGCAATTGCAGCATCAGTCGCCTAAGTATGAAGTAGTAGACTGCGCAAAATTGTTTCCAGGCTACCCGGGTTTCCATTGTTTGTGTTCTATGTAATGTCTTTGGTTTGGTAAGTGTAAGCTTGACTCATCTAGCCGGATTACGTAGTCGTGTACTAGTTGCGAGCAGTTTTGTTAGGTTTAGAAATGTGGTTGTAATTCGCCTCGCATTCTAATAGAGCCTGACTCTGGTCAGGTGTCAGAAGGATGCTACATTAAAAGGAGTGAATTTGTGGAGGTAATTTTGCTTCTCAAATAGCTCCTACATTGTTTGTTCTCTATAAGGTCTTCTGTGTTTGTGTAGAATGTGTGTACGGTTCTAGTTTCTAACAGTGCTAGATTAGAATAAAAAGTAATCATTGACGTTTCCCATCTCGGAGTTTGTGCAGTAGCATGTACTTATGTTTGTAACAAGTCTCTGTAAACATGGTTGGTGATTCGTGTTGCATTTTCATAGTACCAGGATATCGTTCTGGTCTCCCAAAATGGTAATATTAAAGTAGACGGTCGCTAATGGTATTCACATGCCTCTAGTACCGTTTATATACTTGTTTTTCATAGAAATTGATTTGATTGATCAGGGATCGTTCGTCTGAGTTCAACCAGGTTGTGGGATTTACTTACCCTAGATTGTGCAGAGTGTGATTCGATAATGTTGCTTGTATGTAAGTACCAGTTGTCACAACGACATGAGAAGTGGGATATGACTGACTGCTCTAATGTTGAGTGTATTGCGCCTGAATTGTAATGGAGTGTCTGTGGTGTTATACGTGATGTGATTGAGCGTTTGCCTGTCAAATGTTTCTGAACAAACTAGTGTTTGATAGCCATGAGGGAGGTGGACGATGCCTAATATCGTTTAGTTTAGTATTGAGTGTTTCTGTCTAACTTGGTGTAGCTACTGAATGGGGATGTGTTCATGTCGGTTGTAGTTAGTTGTCGTCACTAGTGTAGTCACCAATAGTGTTATGTGAATAATGGATGTCAGACGGTTTGTGTATATGAATCAAAGTGTTGTTAAATTAATGAAGGCAGATATGTATGTGTTGAACATTTTGTCTTGGATTGTGCTGCTAGAGGAGTGTTAGATTTTCGCAAGAATTTGCATTATGCGTTCATATGTTTCACGTTAATCAGGAATTGTTTTGTTGGTGTATAAGTCGGCGGATTCGACACACGAGATCATAAGTAGATGGATAGAGTGGAGAAAAGTATGTGTTTGTTCTATCGACTAATAGTTTGAGTAATGGTGTCGGCCGCTTGTAAGCGTCGTGCAGTTTTCACTCGGGATCAATGTAGTAGTATGGTGTTAGTTGGTTGTCAGTTTCCACTGAGTCATATGATCGTTCATTTGTTGGGAATTAAGCTCCTTTCATCAAAGTGGGTGTCTGTGCAGATTTGATTATGTGTTATTTATTTGTGACACGTAACGTGTTTGGTACAATTAAGTGCTAGGAAACGCACCATACGATACGAAGTGAAAATGGTGTTTAAATAGACAGAAGTGTTGTGGAAGTCCTGTAAACGCAATGACAGGACTACCAAATAATCACCACTAGCTTTTATTCTGAGCCATGTTCAGTGACGTTTCACTGCACTGAGTTGTACGATTGATAGGAAAAGGACCCTTGTTGAGTTACGTTGTAGTCGTGGTCGCGACCAGGACTGATTTAGATTTTGATGACGTATAGAGAAGCTGTGACGGTGTTTTACAATTTGTGGGATAATCGAATAATGTATCGTTGTGCTTATGTGACATGTTGCTTGTGCTCAGCTAATGAATTGATAACTGGTTGTCACCCATTTTGTGTTTCAAGTGGGCTTCATGCCTTTCGGATGTGTGCAACGTGTTATTTTTAAGCTTTTTAAGGGTACAACTGCCAAATGTAAGGCCTCGATTAATGAAGTTGCTGTTTTTATTTACGTCGAGACAATTTGATTGAGCAATGGATTTGTTGGCGAATACCGTATAAGTAGTTGTAGAAGTAATAAAAGAAGAAGGAGGGTGAGTGAGTGTTGATGGGAAAGTAAGAGAATGCAGGGTAAGTTTTTATTCGGTGGCGTGAATGGATGTGGCAAGAGATCAGTTATGGGGTTTGGTCTGTTGAATTTATGCCTGCCTAATGAAGCGTTTAGTGAATGTTTAGTAAAGGGCATCTGACAAAGGCTGGTTAATAAGCCTAGTGCTTCAGTGATGCCAAAATGGACGTAGCAATCACTGGCGGTGTGCATCGCATCCCGTTAAAATTGCTCCTACATAATGACACATGATTTTTTTGTGCATTCCGCTAGAGCCTGACTGTAGTCGGGTGTTCTAGGGCATGTATGAATGTCGAAACAAGTCAGCGATCACAATGATGCGTTGGGTAGGGTCTGTTGTGTTGGGATAAAGTGGTTGTTTCGACAATGCACGTCAGTTCTGAGTGTCGAGTCAAAAGATAGATGGTGTCTAGAAGGCTTAATTTTGTTGACCTTTTATTTATCGTTAATGTTTCTATTACGCAATTGCAGCATCAGTCGCCTAAGTATGAAGTAGTAGACTGCGCAAAATTGTTTCCAGGCTACCCGGGTTTCCATTGTTTGTGTTCTATGTAATGTCTTTGGTTTGGTAAGTGTAAGCTTGACTCATCTAGCCGGATTACGTAGTCGTGTACTAGTTGCGAGCAGTTTTGTTAGGTTTAGAAATGTGGTTGTAATTCGCCTCGCATTCTAATAGAGCCTGACTCTGGTCAGGTGTCAGAAGGATGCTACATTAAAAGGAGTGAATTTGTGGAGGTAATTTTGCTTCTCAAATAGCTCCTACATTGTTTGTTCTCTATAAGGTCTTCTGTGTTTGTGTAGAATGTGTGTACGGTTCTAGTTTCTAACAGTGCTAGATTAGAATAAAAAGTAATCATTGACGTTTCCCATCTCGGAGTTTGTGCAGTAGCATGTACTTATGTTTGTAACAAGTCTCTGTAAACATGGTTGGTGATTCGTGTTGCATTTTCATAGTACCAGGATATCGTTCTGGTCTCCCAAAATGGTAATATTAAAGTAGACGGTCGCTAATGGTATTCACATACCTCTAGTACCGTTTGTACACTTGTTTTTCATAGAAATTGATTTGATTGATCAGGGATCGTTCGTCTGAGTTCAACCAGGTTGTGGGATTTACTTACCCTAGATTGTGCAGAGTGTGATTCGATAATGTTGCTTGTATGTAAGTACCAGTTGTCACAACGACATGAGAAGTGGGATATGACTGACTGCTCTAATGTTGAGTGTATTGCGCCTGAATTGTAATGGAGTGTCTGTGGTGTTATACGTGATGTGATTGAGCGTTTGCCTGTCAAATGTTTCTGAACAAACTAGTGTTTGATAGCCATGAGGGAGGTGGACGATGCCTAATATCGTTTAGTTTAGTATTGAGTGTTTCTGTCTAACTTGGTGTAGCTACTGAATGGGGATGTGTTCATGTCGGTTGTAGTTAGTTGTCGTCACTAGTGTAGTCACCAATAGTGTTATGTGAATAATGGATGTCAGACGGTTTGTGTATATGAATCAAAGTGTTGTTAAATTAATGAAGGCAGATATGTATGTGTTGAACATTTTGTCTTGGATTGTGCTGCTAGAGGAGTGTTAGATTTTCGCAAGAATTTGCATTATGCGTTCATATGTTTCACGTTAATCAGGAATTGTTTTGTTGGTGTATAAGTCGGCGGATTCGACACACGAGATCATAAGTAGATGGATAGAGTGGAGAAAAGTATGTGTTTGTTCTATCGACTAATAGTTTGAGTAATGGTGTCGGCCGCTTGTAAGCGTCGTGCAGTTTTCACTCGGGATCAATGTAGTAGTATGGTGTTAGTTGGTTGTCAGTTTCCACTGAGTCATATGATCGTTCATTTGTTGGGAATTAAGCTCCTTTCATCAAAGTGGGTGTCTGTGCAGATTTGATTATGTGTTATTTATTTGTGACACGTAACGTGTTTGGTACAATTAAGTGCTAGGAAACGCACCATACGATACGAAGTGAAAATGGTGTTTAAATAGACAGAAGTGTTGTGGAAGTCCTGTAAACGCGATGACAGGACTACCAAATAATCACCACTAGCTTTTATTCTGAGCCATGTTCAGTGACGTTTCACTGCACTGAGTTGTACGATTGATAGGAAAAGGACCCTTGTTGAGTTACGTTGTAGTCGTGGTCGCGACCAGGACTGATTTAGACTTTGATGATGTATAGAGAAGCTGTGACGGTGTTTTACAATTTGTGGGATAATCGAATAATGTATCGTTGTGCTTATGTGACATGTTGCTTGTGCTCAGCTAATGAATTGATAACTGGTTGTCACCCATTTTGTGTTTCAAGTGGGCTTCATGCCTTTCGGATGTGTGCAACGTGTTATTTTTAAGCTTTTTAAGGGTACAACTGCCAAATGTAAGGCCTCGATTAATGAAGTTGCTGTTTTTATTTACGTCGAGACAATTTGATTGAGCAATGGATTTGTTGGCGAATACCGTATAAGTAGTTGTAGAAGTAATAAAAGAAGAAGGAGGGTGAGTGGGTGTTGATGGGAAAGTAAGAGAATGCAGGGTAAGTTTTTATTCGGTGGCGTGAATGGATGTGGCAAGAGATCAGTTATGGGGTTTGGTCTGTTGAATTTATGCCTGCCTAATGAAGCGTTTAGTGAATGTTTAGTAAAGGGCATCTGACAAAGGCTGGTTAATAAGCCTAGTGCTTCAGTGATGCCAAAATGGACGTAGCAATCACTGGCGGTGTGCATCGCATCCCGTTAAAATTGCTCCTACATAATGACACATGATTTTTTTGTGCATTCCGCTAGAGCCTGACTGTAGTCGGGTGTTCTAGGAATGCTATATTGAAAGGATTGATTTGTTGACAAAACTACTGTCTACTTTGAATCTCTCCTACAAAGTTGCAGATTCAGATGTTAGATTTTTGTGCATTTTCATAGTACCAGGATTATCGTTCTGGTCTCCCAAAATGCTATATTGAAGTAGACGGTCGCTAATGGTATTCACATACCTCTAGTACCGTTTGTACACTTGTTTTTCATAGAAATTGATTTGATAGATCAGGGATTGTTCGTTTGGGTTTGACCAGGTGATTGCCTAGCATTTGAACATCCCATAGAGATGAGATGACAAATAGAAAGCGTTGTCAATGTGAAGTATACTATTAGGATAGGATTTATTCTACCATGAGTGGAGATTATCTAGTATTTGCATATTTTATGCGAACCAATCTTATGGGGATGTTTGTTAGTCCGTATGAAGAATTTCAGACTGTGAAGTTTGTATATGTGTGGTGTACTGTGTGGATTAATCATTGTGTTTTACTTGGTAATAAGTGTAGGCATAGCTGATTAATTATTCTCTCTGTATTTCAATTTATCCTGTCATATTTGTTTTGTTTCTCTTTTTAATTATTGGTGTCGCTTGCATGCATCATTTATCACTATTTTTGTGTAACTGTATTCTCGCAAATGAGTTCACTTTTAACTTTTCAGACGATCGGTTACTCCGCGACGTAATGGACGGCGTTCTCGTTCTTTCTCGTCTGGTCGTGACAGGCGGTCACCACGTAGAATGAACGATCGATATCGTCTTCCTTCTTCTCCCCGACACTATAGTCGGTCGTTATCAAGAGAACGACGTTGACTGCTGACGCTTATTTAACTTGTTCATTGTTTTTATTGGTTTATATATATACATCATGAATTGATCATCTAACTCAGCCTTTTGCTTTTCTTATCAGCTAATATCCTGCCAATATGGATTGCCTGTATGCTATGCTGATACATGGGAGATTGCTGTTGTTCGCAGTGTCAGGCGAGACAGTTTTGATCAGTTAGCTGTTTGCAGATTTTTAACTCGGAGTTTAGCTGTTAATCTGGAAACATAGTTGTGCTGGTGTGCAGTTAAATCTTTCCGGCAAAGCGGCTGTCTGATGGTGAGACTAACAGGTTTTGCTGTGGTGCTGTAGCTGTTCACACATTGTGTTATGGGGATTAGTCGGTGTAGGTCTAAAGGTTGCTCTACAGAGTAACCAAGATAGTCAATTCTCAAAGCGTGAACAGAATTTGCTTGCGGACATTTGGCGTTGACAACCAAGGTTGCTCATGCTGGTGGGTGTGTGAGCTGTGGGCGTGGTTACATGACTGCAGCAGGATTGCCGAAAAGTGGTGGTTCTAACCCCGTTCTTCGGGTCTAGATTCTGGTTATCCTGATGCGTACGGTAAGCCACTGGAGTAATTGATAAAACATTTTCCAAAATATATAACAGATAACCGTATTGTGAAGTCCGAAGAATTCGCGCCTTCGGTAAGGCATTTCACGTCGGCCTTCTATTGTGCGTTGAGTATGTAACGTATCGTATCGTATCGTATCGTACCAGTCATCGTGATTGCAATGCAATTTTTTGACAATGCGCTGAACATGGTTGTTTCAATATTGTAAGTACATTTCAACCAATAAGTTGGGGGTTCTAACCCCACCTCACTTATGTTTGGGGAAGTCGGGTAGTATCACTAGCTTTCACACAAACAGTGCGACTCAAAGTCGAGTTTATAAGCCTGTGCTTAATAAATGGGTTACGCTGCATACTTCATATGCTTAGTTTAAGGAGGTCTTCGTGTGTTTGATGGCTTATTCAGTAGCCTGATAGTATGCTTTATGTATTTAAATGTTGATGCTAACTAGTTTATTAGTCTAAGTTTAACTAAATTTTATGCTGACTGACTTGAACATCGATAAAGATGATGGGATGTATTTATTTTGGAAATGCGTAAATGCTATATTCCATCGAATAAAGATCAGACTGGAGTTTGTCTATGAGGACAGTTTGTTGTAGGTTGCCAACAAAGGACAAGTGCTTGGCATAGTGTTTCTAGGTTGATGTGTCGGTTTCATGTTCAGGTGTTGACTGTGGGTTGATCTCTTCGGGATAAATTGTCAAATGAGATCGCAGCATTGAATGTAACGAAGTATCATGGATATATATATACAGATTGCATGTATGAATGTCGAAACAAGTCAGCGATCACAATGATGCGTTGGGTAGGGTCTGTTGTGTTGGGATAAAGTGGTTGTTTCGACAATGCACGTCAGTTCTGAGTGTCGAGTCAAAAGATAGATGGTGTCTAGAAGGCTTAATTTTGTTGACCTTTTATTTATCGTTAATGTTTCTATTACGCAATTGCAGCATCAGTCGCCTAAGTATGAAGTAGTAGACTGCGCAAAATTGTTTCCAGGCTACCCGGGTTTCCATTGTTTGTGTTCTATGTAATGTCTTTGGTTTGGTAAGTGTAAGCTTGACTCATCTAGCCGGATTACGTAGTCGTGTACTAGTTGCGAGCAGTTTTGTTAGGTTTAGAAATGTGGTTGTAATTCGCCTCGCATTCTAATAGAGCCTGACTCTGGTCAGGTGTCAGAAGGATGCTACATTAAAAGGAGTGAATTTGTGGAGGTAATTTTGCTTCTCAAATAGCTCCTACATTGTTTGTTCTCTATAAGGTCTTCTGTGTTTGTGTAGAATGTGTGTACGGTTCTAGTTTCTAACAGTGCTAGATTAGAATAAACAGTAATCATTGACGTTTCCCGTCTCGGAGTTTGTGCAGTAGCATGTACTTATGTTTGTAACAAGTCTCTGTAAACATGGTTGGTGATTCGTGTTGCATTTTCATAGTACCAGGATATCGTTCTGGTCTCCCAAAATGGTAATATTAAAGTAGACGGTCGCTAATGGTATTCACATGCCTCTAGTACCGTTTATATACTTGTTTTTCATAGAAATTGATTTGATTGATCAGGGATCGTTCGTCTGAGTTCAACCAGGTTGTGGGATTTACTTACCCTAGATTGTGCAGAGTGTGATTCGATAATGTTGCTTGTATGTAAGTACCAGTTGTCACAACGACATGAGAAGTGGGATATGACTGACTGCTCTAATGTTGAGTGTATTGCGCCTGAATTGTAATGGAGTGTCTGTGGTGTTATACGTGATGTGATTGAGCGTTTGCCTGTCAAATGTTTCTGAACAAACTAGTGTTTGATAGCCATGAGGGAGGTGGACGATGCCTAATATCGTTTAGTTTAGTATTGAGTGTTTCTGTCTAACTTGGTGTAGCTACTGAATGGGGATGTGTTCATGTCGGTTGTAGTTAGTTGTCGTCACTAGTGTAGTCACCAATAGTGTTATGTGAATAATGGATGTCAGACGGTTTGTGTATATGAATCAAAGTGTTGTTAAATTAATGAAGGCAGATATGTATGTGTTGAACATTTTGTCTTGGATTGTGCTGCTAGAGGAGTGTTAGATTTTCGCAAGAATTTGCATTATGCGTTCATATGTTTCACGTTAATCAGGAATTGTTTTGTTGGTGTATAAGTCGGCGGATTCGACACACGAGATCATAAGTAGATGGATAGAGTGGAGAAAAGTATGTGTTTGTTCTATCGACTAATAGTTTGAGTAATGGTGTCGACCGCTTGTAAGCGTCGTGCAGTTTTCACTCGGGATCAATGTAGTAGTATGGTGTTAGTTGGTTGTCAGTTTCCACTGAGTCATATGATCGTTCATTTGTTGGGAATTAAGCTCCTTTCATCAAAGTGGGTGTCTGTGCAGATTTGATTATGTGTTATTTATTTGTGACACGTAACGTGTTTGGTACAATTAAGTGCTAGGAAACGCACCATACGATACGAAGTGAAAATGGTGTTTAAATAGACAGAAGTGTTGTGGAAGTCCTGTAAACGCGATGACAGGACTACCAAATAATCACCACTGGCTTTTATTCTGAGCCATGTTCAGTGACGTTTCACTGCACTGAGTTGTACGATTGATAGGAAAAGGACCCTTGTTGAGTTACGTTGTAGTCGTGGTCGCGACCAGGACTGATTTAGATTTTGATGATGTATAGAGAAGCTGTGACGGTGTTTTACAATTTGTGGGATAATCGAATAATGTATCGTTGTGCTTATGTGACATGTTGCTTGTGCTCAGCTAATGAATTGATAACTGGTTGTCACCCATTTTGTGTTTCAAGTGGGCTTCATGCCTTTCGGATGTGTGCAACGTGTTATTTTTAAGCTTTTTAAGGGTACAACTGCCAAATGTAAGGCCTCGATTAATGAAGTTGCTGTTTTTATTTACGTCGAGACAATTTGATTGAGCAATGGATTTGTTGGCGAATACCGTATAAGTAGTTGTAGAAGTAATAAAAGAAGAAGGAGGGTGAGTGGGTGTTGATGGGAAAGTAAGAGAATGCAGGGTAAGTTTTTATTCGGTGGCGTGAATGGATGTGGCAAGAGATCAGTTATGGGGTTTGGTCTGTTGAATTTATGCCTGCCTAATGAAGCGTTTAGTGAATGTTTAGTAAAGGGCATCTGACAAAGGCTGGTTAATAAGCCTAGTGCTTCAGTGATGCCAAAATGGACGTAGCAATCACTGGCGGTGTGCATCGCATCCCGTTAAAATTGCTCCTACATAATGACACATGATTTTTTTGTGCATTCCGCTAGAGCCTGACTGTAGTCGGGTGTTCTAGGAATGCTATATTGAAAGGATTGATTTGTTGACAAAACTACTGTCTACTTTGAATCTCTCCTACAAAGTTGCAGATTCAGATGTTAGATTTTTGTGCATTTTCATAGTACCAGGATTATCGTTCTGGTCTCCCAAAATGCTATATTGAAGTAGACGGTCGCTAATGGTATTCACATACCTCTAGTACCGTTTGTACACTTGTTTTTCATAGAAATTGATTTGATAGATCAGGGATTGTTCGTTTGGGTTTGACCAGGTGATTGCCTAGCATTTGAACATCCCATAGAGATGAGATGACAAATAGAAAGCGTTGTCAATGTGAAGTATACTATTAGGATAGGATTTATTCTACCATGAGTGGAGATTATCTAGTATTTGCATATTTTATGCGAACCAATCTTATGGGGATGTTTGTTAGTCCGTATGAAGAATTTCAGACTGTGAAGTTTGTATATGTGTGGTGTACTGTGTGGATTAATCATTGTGTTTTACTTGGTAATAAGTGTAGGCATAGCTGATTAATTATTCTCTCTGTATTTCAATTTATCCTGTCATATTTGTTTTGTTTCTCTTTTTAATTATTGGTGTCGCTTGCATGCATCATTTATCACTATTTTTGTGTAACTGTATTCTCGCAAATGAGTTCACTTTTAACTTTTCAGACGATCGGTTACTCCGCGACGTAATGGACGGCGTTCTCGTTCTTTCTCGTCTGGTCGTGACAGGCGGTCACCACGTAGAATGAACGATCGATATCGTCTTCCTTCTTCTCCCCGACACTATAGTCGGTCGTTATCAAGAGAACGACGTTGACTGCTGACGCTTATTTAACTTGTTCATTGTTTTTATTGGTTTATATATATACATCATGAATTGATCATCTAACTCAGCCTTTTGCTTTTCTTATCAGCTAATATCCTGCCAATATGGATTGCCTGTATGCTATGCTGATACATGGGAGATTGCTGTTGTTCGCAGTGTCAGGCGAGACAGTTTTGATCAGTTAGCTGTTTGCAGATTTTTAACTCGGAGTTTAGCTGTTAATCTGGAAACATAGTTGTGCTGGTGTGCAGTTAAATCTTTCCGGCAAAGCGGCTGTCTGATGGTGAGACTAACAGGTTTTGCTGTGGTGCTGTAGCTGTTCACACATTGTGTTATGGGGATTAGTCGGTGTAGGTCTAAAGGTTGCTCTACAGAGTAACCAAGATAGTCAATTCTCAAAGCGTGAACAGAATTTGCTTGCGGACATTTGGCGTTGACAACCAAGGTTGCTCATGCTGGTGGGTGTGTGAGCTGTGGGCGTGGTTACATGACTGCAGCAGGATTGCCGAAAAGTGGTGGTTCTAACCCCGTTCTTCGGGTCTAGATTCTGGTTATCCTGATGCGTACGGTAAGCCACTGGAGTAATTGATAAAACATTTTCCAAAATATATAACAGATAACCGTATTGTGAAGTCCGAAGAATTCGCGCCTTCGGTAAGGCATTTCACGTCGGCCTTCTATTGTGCGTTGAGTATGTAACGTATCGTATCGTATCGTATCGTACCAGTCATCGTGATTGCAATGCAATTTTTTGACAATGCGCTGAACATGGTTGTTTCAATATTGTAAGTACATTTCAACCAATAAGTTGGGGGTTCTAACCCCACCTCACTTATGTTTGGGGAAGTCGGGTAGTATCACTAGCTTTCACACAAACAGTGCGACTCAAAGTCGAGTTTATAAGCCTGTGCTTAATAAATGGGTTACGCCGCATACTTCATATGCTTAGTTTAAGGAGGTCTTCGTGTGTTTGATGGCTTATTCAGTAGCCTGATAGTATGCTTTATGTATTTAAATGTTGATGCTAACTAGTTTATTAGTCTAAGTTTAACTAAATTTTATGCTGACTGACTTGAACATCGATAAAGATGATGGGATGTATTTATTTTGGAAATGCGTAAATGCTATATTCCATCGAATAAAGATCAGACTGGAGTTTGTCTATGAGGACAGTTTGTTGTAGGTTGCCAACAAAGGACAAGTGCTTGGCATAGTGTTTCTAGGTTGATGTGTCGGTTTCATGTTCAGGTGTTGACTGTGGGTTGATCTCTTCGGGATAAATTGTCAAATGAGATCGCAGCATTGAATGTAACGAAGTATCATGGATATATATATACAGATTGCATGTATGAATGTCGAAACAAGTCAGCGATCACAATGATGCGTTGGGTAGGGTCTGTTGTGTTGGGATAAAGTGGTTGTTTCGACAATGCACGTCAGTTCTGAGTGTCGAGTCAAAAGATAGATGGTGTCTAGAAGGCTTAATTTTGTTGACCTTTTATTTATCGTTAATGTTTCTATTACGCAATTGCAGCATCAGTCGCCTAAGTATGAAGTAGTAGACTGCGCAAAATTGTTTCCAGGCTACCCGGGTTTCCATTGTTTGTGTTCTATGTAATGTCTTTGGTTTGGTAAGTGTAAGCTTGACTCATCTAGCCGGATTACGTAGTCGTGTACCAGTTGCGAGCAGTTTTGTTAGGTTTAGAAATGTGGTTGTAATTCGCCTCGCATTCTAATAGAGCCTGACTCTGGTCAGGTGTCAGAAGGATGCTACATTAAAAGGAGTGAATTTGTGGAGGTAATTTTGCTTCTCAAATAGCTCCTACATTGTTTGTTCTCTATAAGGTCTTCTGTGTTTGTGTAGAATGTGTGTACGGTTCTAGTTTCTAACAGTGCTAGATTAGAATAAACAGTAATCATTGACGTTTCCCGTCTCGGAGTTTGTGCAGTAGCATGTACTTATGTTTGTAACAAGTCTCTGTAAACATGGTTGGTGATTCGTGTTGCATTTTCATAGTACCAGGATATCGTTCTGGTCTCCCAAAATGGTAATATTAAAGTAGACGGTCGCTAATGGTATTCACATGCCTCTAGTACCGTTTATATACTTGTTTTTCATAGAAATTGATTTGATTGATCAGGGATCGTTCGTCTGAGTTCAACCAGGTTGTGGGATTTACTTACCCTAGATTGTGCAGAGTGTGATTCGATAATGTTGCTTGTATGTAAGTACCAGTTGTCACAACGACATGAGAAGTGGGATATGACTGACTGCTCTAATGTTGAGTGTATTGCGCCTGAATTGTAATGGAGTGTCTGTGGTGTTATACGTGATGTGATTGAGCGTTTGCCTGTCAAATGTTTCTGAACAAACTAGTGTTTGATAGCCATGAGGGAGGTGGACGATGCCTAATATCGTTTAGTTTAGTATTGAGTGTTTCTGTCTAACTTGGTGTAGCTACTGAATGGGGATGTGTTCATGTCGGTTGTAGTTAGTTGTCGTCACTAGTGTAGTCACCAATAGTGTTATGTGAATAATGGATGTCAGACGGTTTGTGTATATGAATCAAAGTGTTGTTAAATTAATGAAGGCAGATATGTATGTGTTGAACATTTTGTCTTGGATTGTGCTGCTAGAGGAGTGTTAGATTTTCGCAAGAATTTGCATTATGCGTTCATATGTTTCACGTTAATCAGGAATTGTTTTGTTGGTGTATAAGTCGGCGGATTCGACACACGAGATCATAAGTAGATGGATAGAGTGGAGAAAAGTATGTGTTTGTTCTATCGACTAATAGTTTGAGTAATGGTGTCGACCGCTTGTAAGCGTCGTGCAGTTTTCACTCGGGATCAATGTAGTAGTATGGTGTTAGTTGGTTGTCAGTTTCCACTGAGTCATATGATCGTTCATTTGTTGGGAATTAAGCTCCTTTCATCAAAGTGGGTGTCTGTGCAGATTTGATTATGTGTTATTTATTTGTGACACGTAACGTGTTTGGTACAATTAAGTGCTAGGAAACGCACCATACGATACGAAGTGAAAATGGTGTTTAAATAGACAGAAGTGTTGTGGAAGTCCTGTAAACGCGATGACAGGACTACCAAATAATCACCACTGGCTTTTATTCTGAGCCATGTTCAGTGACGTTTCACTGCACTGAGTTGTACGATTGATAGGAAAAGGACCCTTGTTGAGTTACGTTGTAGTCGTGGTCGCGACCAGGACTGATTTAGATTTTGATGATGTATAGAGAAGCTGTGACGGTGTTTTACAATTTGTGGGATAATCGAATAATGTATCGTTGTGCTTATGTGACATGTTGCTTGTGCTCAGCTAATGAATTGATAACTGGTTGTCACCCATTTTGTGTTTCAAGTGGGCTTCATGCCTTTCGGATGTGTGCAACGTGTTATTTTTAAGCTTTTTAAGGGTACAACTGCCAAATGTAAGGCCTCGATTAATGAAGTTGCTGTTTTTATTTACGTCGAGACAATTTGATTGAGCAATGGATTTGTTGGCGAATACCGTATAAGTAGTTGTAGAAGTAATAAAAGAAGAAGGAGGGTGAGTGGGTGTTGATGGGAAAGTAAGAGAATGCAGGGTAAGTTTTTATTCGGTGGCGTGAATGGATGTGGCAAGAGATCAGTTATGGGGTTTGGTCTGTTGAATTTATGCCTGCCTAATGAAGCGTTTAGTGAATGTTTAGTAAAGGGCATCTGACAAAGGCTGGTTAATAAGCCTAGTGCTTCAGTGATGCCAAAATGGACGTAGCAATCACTGGCGGTGTGCATCGCATCCCGTTAAAATTGCTCCTACATAATGACACATGATTTTTTTGTGCATTCCGCTAGAGCCTGACTGTAGTCGGGTGTTCTAGGAATGCTATATTGAAAGGATTGATTTGTTGACAAAACTACTGTCTACTTTGAATCTCTCCTACAAAGTTGCAGATTCAGATGTTAGATTTTTGTGCATTTTCATAGTACCAGGATTATCGTTCTGGTCTCCCAAAATGCTATATTGAAGTAGACGGTCGCTAATGGTATTCACATACCTCTAGTACCGTTTGTACACTTGTTTTTCATAGAAATTGATTTGATAGATCAGGGATTGTTCGTTTGGGTTTGACCAGGTGATTGCCTAGCATTTGAACATCCCATAGAGATGAGATGACAAATAGAAAGCGTTGTCAATGTGAAGTATACTATTAGGATAGGATTTATTCTACCATGAGTGGAGATTATCTAGTATTTGCATATTTTATGCGAACCAATCTTATGGGGATGTTTGTTAGTCCGTATGAAGAATTTCAGACTGTGAAGTTTGTATATGTGTGGTGTACTGTGTGGATTAATCATTGTGTTTTACTTGGTAATAAGTGTAGGCATAGCTGATTAATTATTCTCTCTGTATTTCAATTTATCCTGTCATATTTGTTTTGTTTCTCTTTTTAATTATTGGTGTCGCTTGCATGCATCATTTATCACTATTTTTGTGTAACTGTATTCTCGCAAATGAGTTCACTTTTAACTTTTCAGACGATCGGTTACTCCGCGACGTAATGGACGGCGTTCTCGTTCTTTCTCGTCTGGTCGTGACAGGCGGTCACCACGTAGAATGAACGATCGATATCGTCTTCCTTCTTCTCCCCGACACTATAGTCGGTCGTTATCAAGAGAACGACGTTGACTGCTGACGCTTATTTAACTTGTTCATTGTTTTTATTGGTTTATATATATACATCATGAATTGATCATCTAACTCAGCCTTTTGCTTTTCTTATCAGCTAATATCCTGCCAATATGGATTGCCTGTATGCTATGCTGATACATGGGAGATTGCTGTTGTTCGCAGTGTCAGGCGAGACAGTTTTGATCAGTTAGCTGTTTGCAGATTTTTAACTCGGAGTTTAGCTGTTAATCTGGAAACATAGTTGTGCTGGTGTGCAGTTAAATCTTTCCGGCAAAGCGGCTGTCTGATGGTGAGACTAACAGGTTTTGCTGTGGTGCTGTAGCTGTTCACACATTGTGTTATGGGGATTAGTCGGTGTAGGTCTAAAGGTTGCTCTACAGAGTAACCAAGATAGTCAATTCTCAAAGCGTGAACAGAATTTGCTTGCGGACATTTGGCGTTGACAACCAAGGTTGCTCATGCTGGTGGGTGTGTGAGCTGTGGGCGTGGTTACATGACTGCAGCAGGATTGCCGAAAAGTGGTGGTTCTAACCCCGTTCTTCGGGTCTAGATTCTGGTTATCCTGATGCGTACGGTAAGCCACTGGAGTAATTGATAAAACATTTTCCAAAATATATAACAGATAACCGTATTGTGAAGTCCGAAGAATTCGCGCCTTCGGTAAGGCATTTCACGTCGGCCTTCTATTGTGCGTTGAGTATGTAACGTATCGTATCGTATCGTATCGTATCGTACCAGTCATCGTGATTGCAATGCAATTTTTTGACAATGCGCTGAACATGGTTGTTTCAATATTGTAAGTACATTTCAACCAATAAGTTGGGGGTTCTAACCCCACCTCACTTATGTTTGGGGAAGTCGGGTAGTATCACTAGCTTTCACACAAACAGTGCGACTCAAAGTCGAGTTTATAAGCCTGTGCTTAATAAATGGGTTACGCCGCATACTTCATATGCTTAGTTTAAGGAGGTCTTCGTGTGTTTGATGGCTTATTCAGTAGCCTGATAGTATGCTTTATGTATTTAAATGTTGATGCTAACTAGTTTATTAGTCTAAGTTTAACTAAATTTTATGCTGACTGACTTGAACATCGATAAAGATGATGGGATGTATTTATTTTGGAAATGCGTAAATGCTATATTCCATCGAATAAAGATCAGACTGGAGTTTGTCTATGAGGACAGTTTGTTGTAGGTTGCCAACAAAGGACAAGTGCTTGGCATAGTGTTTCTAGGTTGATGTGTCGGTTTCATGTTCAGGTGTTGACTGTGGGTTGATCTCTTCGGGATAAATTGTCAAATGAGATCGCAGCACTGAATGTAACGAAGTATCATGGATATATATATACAGATTGCATGTATGAATGTCGAAACAAGTCAGCGATCACAATGATGCGTTGGGTAGGGTCTGTTGTGTTGGGATAAAGTGGTTGTTTCGACAATGCACGTCAGTTCTGAGTGTCGAGTCAAAAGATAGATGGTGTCTAGAAGGCTTAATTTTGTTGACCTTTTATTTATCGTTAATGTTTCTATTACGCAATTGCAGCATCAGTCGCCTAAGTATGAAGTAGTAGACTGCGCAAAATTGTTTCCAGGCTACCCGGGTTTCCATTGTTTGTGTTCTATGTAATGTCTTTGGTTTGGTAAGTGTAAGCTTGACTCATCTAGCCGGATTACGTAGTCGTGTACCAGTTGCGAGCAGTTTTGTTAGGTTTAGAAATGTGGTTGTAATTCGCCTCGCATTCTAATAGAGCCTGACTCTGGTCAGGTGTCAGAAGGATGCTACATTAAAAGGAGTGAATTTGTGGAGGTAATTTTGCTTCTCAAATAGCTCCTACATTGTTTGTTCTCTATAAGGTCTTCTGTGTTTGTGTAGAATGTGTGTACGGTTCTAGTTTCTAACAGTGCTAGATTAGAATAAACAGTAATCATTGACGTTTCCCGTCTCGGAGTTTGTGCAGTAGCATGTACTTATGTTTGTAACAAGTCTCTGTAAACATGGTTGGTGATTCGTGTTGCATTTTCATAGTACCAGGATATCGTTCTGGTCTCCCAAAATGGTAATATTAAAGTAGACGGTCGCTAATGGTATTCACATGCCTCTAGTACCGTTTATATACTTGTTTTTCATAGAAATTGATTTGATTGATCAGGGATCGTTCGTCTGAGTTCAACCAGGTTGTGGGATTTACTTACCCTAGATTGTGCAGAGTGTGATTCGATAATGTTGCTTGTATGTAAGTACCAGTTGTCACAACGACATGAGAAGTGGGATATGACTGACTGCTCTAATGTTGAGTGTATTGCGCCTGAATTGTAATGGAGTGTCTGTGGTGTTATACGTGATGTGATTGAGCGTTTGCCTGTCAAATGTTTCTGAACAAACTAGTGTTTGATAGCCATGAGGGAGGTGGACGATGCCTAATATCGTTTAGTTTAGTATTGAGTGTTTCTGTCTAACTTGGTGTAGCTACTGAATGGGGATGTGTTCATGTCGGTTGTAGTTAGTTGTCGTCACTAGTGTAGTCACCAATAGTGTTATGTGAATAATGGATGTCAGACGGTTTGTGTATATGAATCAAAGTGTTGTTAAATTAATGAAGGCAGATATGTATGTGTTGAACATTTTGTCTTGGATTGTGCTGCTAGAGGAGTGTTAGATTTTCGCAAGAATTTGCATTATGCGTTCATATGTTTCACGTTAATCAGGAATTGTTTTGTTGGTGTATAAGTCGGCGGATTCGACACACGAGATCATAAGTAGATGGATAGAGTGGAGAAAAGTATGTGTTTGTTCTATCGACTAATAGTTTGAGTAATGGTGTCGGCCGCTTGTAAGCGTCGTGCAGTTTTCACTCGGGATCAATGTAGTAGTATGGTGTTAGTTGGTTGTCAGTTTCCACTGAGTCATATGATCGTTCATTTGTTGGGAATTAAGCTCCTTTCATCAAAGTGGGTGTCTGTGCAGATTTGATTATGTGTTATTTATTTGTGACACGTAACGTGTTTGGTACAATTAAGTGCTAGGAAACGCACCATACGATACGAAGTGAAAATGGTGTTTAAATAGACAGAAGTGTTGTGGAAGTCCTGTAAACGCGATGACAGGACTACCAAATAATCACCACTAGCTTTTATTCTGAGCCATGTTCAGTGACGTTTCACTGCACTGAGTTGTACGATTGATAGGAAAAGGACCCTTGTTGAGTTACGTTGTAGTCGTGGTCGCGACCAGGACTGATTTAGATTTTGATGATGTATAGAGAAGCTGTGACGGTGTTTTACAATTTGTGGGATAATCGAATAATGTATCGTTGTGCTTATGTGACATGTTGCTTGTGCTCAGCTAATGAATTGATAACTGGTTGTCACCCATTTTGTGTTTCAAGTGGGCTTCATGCCTTTCGGATGTGTGCAACGTGTTATTTTTAAGCTTTTTAAGGGTACAACTGCCAAATGTAAGGCCTCGATTAATGAAGTTGCTGTTTTTATTTACGTCGAGACAATTTGATTGAGCAATGGATTTGTTGGCGAATACCGTATAAGTAGTTGTAGAAGTAATAAAAGAAGAAGGAGGGTGAGTGGGTGTTGATGGGAAAGTAAGAGAATGCAGGGTAAGTTTTTATTCGGTGGCGTGAATGGATGTGGCAAGAGATCAGTTATGGGGTTTGGTCTGTTGAATTTATGCCTGCCTAATGAAGCGTTTAGTGAATGTTTAGTAAAGGGCATCTGACAAAGGCTGGTTAATAAGCCTAGTGCTTCAGTGATGCCAAAATGGACGTAGCAATCACTGGCGGTGTGCATCGCATCCCGTTAAAATTGCTCCTACATAATGACACATGATTTTTTTGTGCATTCCGCTAGAGCCTGACTGTAGTCGGGTGTTCTAGGAATGCTATATTGAAAGGATTGATTTGTTGACAAAACTACTGTCTACTTTGAATCTCTCCTACAAAGTTGCAGATTCAGATGTTAGATTTTTGTGCATTTTCATAGTACCAGGATTATCGTTCTGGTCTCCCAAAATGCTATATTGAAGTAGACGGTCGCTAATGGTATTCACATACCTCTAGTACCGTTTGTACACTTGTTTTTCATAGAAATTGATTTGATAGATCAGGGATTGTTCGTTTGGGTTTGACCAGGTGATTGCCTAGCATTTGAACATCCCATAGAGATGAGATGACAAATAGAAAGCGTTGTCAATGTGAAGTATACTATTAGGATAGGATTTATTCTACCATGAGTGGAGATTATCTAGTATTTGCATATTTTATGCGAACCAATCTTATGGGGATGTTTGTTAGTCCGTATGAAGAATTTCAGACTGTGAAGTTTGTATATGTGTGGTGTACTGTGTGGATTAATCATTGTGTTTTACTTGGTAATAAGTGTAGGCATAGCTGATTAATTATTCTCTCTGTATTTCAATTTATCCTGTCATATTTGTTTTGTTTCTCTTTTTAATTATTGGTGTCGCTTGCATGCATCATTTATCACTATTTTTGTGTAACTGTATTCTCGCAAATGAGTTCACTTTTAACTTTTCAGACGATCGGTTACTCCGCGACGTAATGGACGGCGTTCTCGTTCTTTCTCGTCTGGTCGTGACAGGCGGTCACCACGTAGAATGAACGATCGATATCGTCTTCCTTCTTCTCCCCGACACTATAGTCGGTCGTTATCAAGAGAACGACGTTGACTGCTGACGCTTATTTAACTTGTTCATTGTTTTTATTGGTTTATATATATACATCATGAATTGATCATCTAACTCAGCCTTTTGCTTTTCTTATCAGCTAATATCCTGCCAATATGGATTGCCTGTATGCTATGCTGATACATGGGAGATTGCTGTTGTTCGCAGTGTCAGGCGAGACAGTTTTGATCAGTTAGCTGTTTGCAGATTTTTAACTCGGAGTTTAGCTGTTAATCTGGAAACATAGTTGTGCTGGTGTGCAGTTAAATCTTTCCGGCAAAGCGGCTGTCTGATGGTGAGACTAACAGGTTTTGCTGTGGTGCTGTAGCTGTTCACACATTGTGTTATGGGGATTAGTCGGTGTAGGTCTAAAGGTTGCTCTACAGAGTAACCAAGATAGTCAATTCTCAAAGCGTGAACAGAATTTGCTTGCGGACATTTGGCGTTGACAACCAAGGTTGCTCATGCTGGTGGGTGTGTGAGCTGTGGGCGTGGTTACATGACTGCAGCAGGATTGCCGAAAAGTGGTGGTTCTAACCCCGTTCTTCGGGTCTAGATTCTGGTTATCCTGATGCGTACGGTAAGCCACTGGAGTAATTGATAAAACATTTTCCAAAATATATAACAGATAACCGTATTGTGAAGTCCGAAGAATTCGCGCCTTCGGTAAGGCATTTCACGTCGGCCTTCTATTGTGCGTTGAGTATGTAACGTATCGTATCGTATCGTATCGTACCAGTCATCGTGATTGCAATGCAATTTTTTGACAATGCGCTGAACATGGTTGTTTCAATATTGTAAGTACATTTCAACCAATAAGTTGGGGGTTCTAACCCCACCTCACTTATGTTTGGGGAAGTCGGGTAGTATCACTAGCTTTCACACAAACAGTGCGACTCAAAGTCGAGTTTATAAGCCTGTGCTTAATAAATGGGTTACGCCGCATACTTCATATGCTTAGTTTAAGGAGGTCTTCGTGTGTTTGATGGCTTATTCAGTAGCCTGATAGTATGCTTTATGTATTTAAATGTTGATGCTAACTAGTTTATTAGTCTAAGTTTAACTAAATTTTATGCTGACTGACTTGAACATCGATAAAGATGATGGGATGTATTTATTTTGGAAATGCGTAAATGCTATATTCCATCGAATAAAGATCAGACTGGAGTTTGTCTATGAGGACAGTTTGTTGTAGGTTGCCAACAAAGGACAAGTGCTTGGCATAGTGTTTCTAGGTTGATGTGTCGGTTTCATGTTCAGGTGTTAACTGTGGGTTGATCTCTTCGGGATAAATTGTCAAATGAGATCGCAGCATTGAATGTAACGAAGTATCATGGATATATATATACAGATTGCATGTATGAATGTCGAAACAAGTCAGCGATCACAATGATGCGTTGGGTAGGGTCTGTTGTGTTGGGATAAAGTGGTTGTTTCGACAATGCACGTCAGTTCTGAGTGTCGAGTCAAAAGATAGATGGTGTCTAGAAGGCTTAATTTTGTTGACCTTTTATTTATCGTTAATGTTTCTATTACGCAATTGCAGCATCAGTCGCCTAAGTATGAAGTAGTAGACTGCGCAAAATTGTTTCCAGGCTACCCGGGTTTCCATTGTTTGTGTTCTATGTAATGTCTTTGGTTTGGTAAGTGTAAGCTTGACTCATCTAGCCGGATTACGTAGTCGTGTACCAGTTGCGAGCAGTTTTGTTAGGTTTAGAAATGTGGTTGTAATTCGCCTCGCATTCTAATAGAGCCTGACTCTGGTCAGGTGTCAGAAGGATGCTACATTAAAAGGAGTGAATTTGTGGAGGTAATTTTGCTTCTCAAATAGCTCCTACATTGTTTGTTCTCTATAAGGTCTTCTGTGTTTGTGTAGAATGTGTGTACGGTTCTAGTTTCTAACAGTGCTAGATTAGAATAAACAGTAATCATTGACGTTTCCCGTCTCGGAGTTTGTGCAGTAGCATGTACTTATGTTTGTAACAAGTCTCTGTAAACATGGTTGGTGATTCGTGTTGCATTTTCATAGTACCAGGATATCGTTCTGGTCTCCCAAAATGGTAATATTAAAGTAGACGGTCGCTAATGGTATTCACATGCCTCTAGTACCGTTTATATACTTGTTTTTCATAGAAATTGATTTGATTGATCAGGGATCGTTCGTCTGAGTTCAACCAGGTTGTGGGATTTACTTACCCTAGATTGTGCAGAGTGTGATTCGATAATGTTGCTTGTATGTAAGTACCAGTTGTCACAACGACATGAGAAGTGGGATATGACTGACTGCTCTAATGTTGAGTGTATTGCGCCTGAATTGTAATGGAGTGTCTGTGGTGTTATACGTGATGTGATTGAGCGTTTGCCTGTCAAATGTTTCTGAACAAACTAGTGTTTGATAGCCATGAGGGAGGTGGACGATGCCTAATATCGTTTAGTTTAGTATTGAGTGTTTCTGTCTAACTTGGTGTAGCTACTGAATGGGGATGTGTTCATGTCGGTTGTAGTTAGTTGTCGTCACTAGTGTAGTCACCAATAGTGTTATGTGAATAATGGATGTCAGACGGTTTGTGTATATGAATCAAAGTGTTGTTAAATTAATGAAGGCAGATATGTATGTGTTGAACATTTTGTCTTGGATTGTGCTGCTAGAGGAGTGTTAGATTTTCGCAAGAATTTGCATTATGCGTTCATATGTTTCACGTTAATCAGGAATTGTTTTGTTGGTGTATAAGTCGGCGGATTCGACACACGAGATCATAAGTAGATGGATAGAGTGGAGAAAAGTATGTGTTTGTTCTATCGACTAATAGTTTGAGTAATGGTGTCGGCCGCTTGTAAGCGTCGTGCAGTTTTCACTCGGGATCAATGTAGTAGTATGGTGTTAGTTGGTTGTCAGTTTCCACTGAGTCATATGATCGTTCATTTGTTGGGAATTAAGCTCCTTTCATCAAAGTGGGTGTCTGTGCAGATTTGATTATGTGTTATTTATTTGTGACACGTAACGTGTTTGGTACAATTAAGTGCTAGGAAACGCACCATACGATACGAAGTGAAAATGGTGTTTAAATAGACAGAAGTGTTGTGGAAGTCCTGTAAACGCGATGACAGGACTACCAAATAATCACCACTAGCTTTTATTCTGAGCCATGTTCAGTGACGTTTCACTGCACTGAGTTGTACGATTGATAGGAAAAGGACCCTTGTTGAGTTACGTTGTAGTCGTGGTCGCGACCAGGACTGATTTAGATTTTGATGATGTATAGAGAAGCTGTGACGGTGTTTTACAATTTGTGGGATAATCGAATAATGTATCGTTGTGCTTATGTGACATGTTGCTTGTGCTCAGCTAATGAATTGATAACTGGTTGTCACCCATTTTGTGTTTCAAGTGGGCTTCATGCCTTTCGGATGTGTGCAACGTGTTATTTTTAAGCTTTTTAAGGGTACAACTGCCAAATGTAAGGCCTCGATTAATGAAGTTGCTGTTTTTATTTACGTCGAGACAATTTGATTGAGCAATGGATTTGTTGGCGAATACCGTATAAGTAGTTGTAGAAGTAATAAAAGAAGAAGGAGGGTGAGTGGGTGTTGATGGGAAAGTAAGAGAATGCAGGGTAAGTTTTTATTCGGTGGCGTGAATGGATGTGGCAAGAGATCAGTTATGGGGTTTGGTCTGTTGAATTTATGCCTGCCTAATGAAGCGTTTAGTGAATGTTTAGTAAAGGGCATCTGACAAAGGCTGGTTAATAAGCCTAGTGCTTCAGTGATGCCAAAATGGACGTAGCAATCACTGGCGGTGTGCATCGCATCCCGTTAAAATTGCTCCTACATAATGACACATGATTTTTTTGTGCATTCCGCTAGAGCCTGACTGTAGTCGGGTGTTCTAGGAATGCTATATTGAAAGGATTGATTTGTTGACAAAACTACTGTCCACTTTGAATCTCTCCTACAAAGTTGCAGATTCAGATGTTAGATTTTTGTGCATTTTCATAGTACCAGGATTATCGTTCTGGTCTCCCAAAATGCTATATTGAAGTAGACGGTCGCTAATGGTATTCACATACCTCTAGTACCGTTTGTACACTTGTTTTTCATAGAAATTGATTTGATAGATCAGGGATTGTTCGTTTGGGTTTGACCAGGTGATTGCCTAGCATTTGAACATCCCATAGAGATGAGATGACAAATAGAAAGCGTTGTCAATGTGAAGTATACTATTAGGATAGGATTTATTCTACCATGAGTGGAGATTATCTAGTATTTGCATATTTTATGCGAACCAATCTTATGGGGATGTTTGTTAGTCCGTATGAAGAATTTCAGACTGTGAAGTTTGTATATGTGTGGTGTACTGTGTGGATTAATCATTGTGTTTTACTTGGTAATAAGTGTAGGCATAGCTGATTAATTATTCTCTCTGTATTTCAATTTATCCTGTCATATTTGTTTTGTTTCTCTTTTTAATTATTGGTGTCGCTTGCATGCATCATTTATCACTATTTTTGTGTAACTGTATTCTCGCAAATGAGTTCACTTTTAACTTTTCAGACGATCGGTTACTCCGCGACGTAATGGACGGCGTTCTCGTTCTTTCTCGTCTGGTCGTGACAGGCGGTCACCACGTAGAATGAACGATCGATATCGTCTTCCTTCTTCTCCCCGACACTATAGTCGGTCGTTATCAAGAGAACGACGTTGACTGCTGACGCTTATTTAACTTGTTCATTGTTTTTATTGGTTTATATATATACATCATGAATTGATCATCTAACTCAGCCTTTTGCTTTTCTTATCAGCTAATGTACTACCCATATTCATTGTCTGTTTAGTCTGGTATATTATAGTAAGTGGTAGTTCTGTAATTTGTTGTGATATGCGTAGCTTTTTTTGTATACATCTTTTTTTAGGATTGTTGGATTAAGTTAAAGTATTTGAGTACGCTTTGCTTATGCCTTTATTTAGAGTTGTTACTGCAGTTACTGCTTGTGGTAAATGGGAGAAGAAGTAGTTGTGTATTTTTAATTAATTATCTGTGTAGTGTTTGCGCATACTTTAGTTAACGTTCGATGCCTTTAACTTTAGTGGTTTTTATTATTGCTGAACTATTACGATCACTTTATTGATTTTGTGAGGTGTATGTGTGTGTCTTTATATTTGTTGATGTATGACGAAATATTTATGCAGCCTTATTGTTTTTAATTGCTTGTTGTTATGTTTGTGCTTCTGTGACTGATTTTCAATTTACTATTGGTGATTGGAATTTTGAGCATTGATTTATTGTTCGTCGCTAGTTCAAAACATGTGCCTATCGCTCGTTGTTCTTAATGATACCTCAACATTAATCACGTCGTTCCGTTTAATACCTGCTAATTGACTTAACCTCCGCATGGCCACTTTTTCTGATGTTCGATATGCTTTGTTACTCTTCCACGTTCCTTTATTTTGTAACGCACAATGATACAGGGTTTTTATGGTGAATTCTCATTTGAACGACGCATTTTTTCTGTAGGCTTGTAATCATTTGCCTCATGAATATATATCCAAGCTATCAGGTAGTTCGAAATGACGCACATCAAGTCATTTGGGACTCGTGAGCTGGATGTACCTGCATCTCAGAGTTGATGTTCACTCATTGACTCAAACGTAGTACGTTTTCGTTCAAACGCCATCACGTTATTCACTCAGCTACTAAGTCCTGATCGCTACTTGCTCGTGCAATGGGGTGAAGTTTACATTCACTTAGTATTGTTTGTTTGAATCTTCCCATTGATGTTTAGAACTGCAGCTGGTCAGTTTTTAAATATTTCTGATGATTGTATGACCTTTTTATGTAGTTATAATGTTTATATACAATCATTTAATCAAGATCGTAGAATGAATGCATCTCTAATGATAAATTTGTAAGTAAAGTAAATAATGTTTAAATCTTCACTGTATAGCGTTGTTAGTCTTTATTTCAAGTTTAAACTCCACAAAATGCAGAGCAATCTATCTTTTAAGAAGAATTGAAAATACATTTATTTCAATAAGTTTTATTTGAATGCTATAACCTGATGAATAATATATATACGTATACTTTACAGAATTATGACTAGTTTAGAAAATACAATAAGGCTCTACATAATAATGTACTACAAAAAATGTCATATTCGTACAGTGAGTTTATAAAGTGAAATCCGATTACAAGTAACACAAAAATATATCCATATTTCTTTAGAAAAATATTTGTCAATACTTTTATTTTTCTGGAAGTAGGAATGAATTTAATAAAAAGAACTTTACACTGATTATATATACTTGAATGGGTATATTATACCATAAATATTCACAGTGAAATGTATATACATATTCATATCTATTATAAAATTCACCGATATATCAGGAAGTAATGAGAGAAATTTACTCATATTGATGATGGTGTGTAAGGTAAAAGTACAAATGAACAAAATACATCGAAACGCGATAGAAAGTATTTGTAGTTCAGAGTTATGTTAGAATACACAATGTAGTTTCTTTATGTATTTCAATGTTTTAACGTTACATAGACTCTAGTCTTCTGATATTAGATATACCATTCAAAATGAAAATATAATTCTTCTTTTATAAACATATAATACTTAACTTTTTAAATCATAAAAATGAATTAGGTTCTGGTTCATCTTGTTCAATATTTTCATCTACTGATATCACATCAAAATCACTTTCTCTATATATAAGTGGACAATAAACATGTGAAAATGTTAAACCAACACCATGTGAATCAGAATCAATTATTGAATGAGTACAAGTTTTTGAATTGGTTATTACACTACTATTACTACTAGTACTAATACTAATATTATCATTACTATTATGTAACATATTATGATTTACACAATGTATAATATTTTGTTTTACATTATTAGTAGTATCTTCTTTATATTTATTATAATTTTGTATATATTTACCATGTTGTAAATTATCACTATTATCGAAACTATATTCATTTGTCATTAATTGATTTGAATGTAATGGTGATGTTGTAATTAGTTTAGTATGTTGCCAATCCTGATCTTGACTATTATTATTACTCTTACCATTATTACTATTATTATTATTATTAGTAGTAGCAGTAGTAGTAGTAATAGTATTTAAATTAGTTAATTGAAATATCCAATTTTTGATAACTGAATCATATGAATAATATGTTCGAATAGTTTTATAAATACATGTCGGATCATTTAAATCATATTTTATCTCTGTTTGACAATTTGTTGGCTTTAATAAATTCAAAAATGATTGTTGACATGATGTTTCTATAGTTTTATATATTAGATTATTATTATTATTTATATTAATAAAAGGATTGGATATAATTAAATAATTTGATGTATCATGAATAATAGGTACTGATGAAGAACAATAATTGATTTTCTTATAATCAATAATATTTTCTGATTGATTAATTGAATTGATTTTGTTTATACATTGAGGGGAATGATGAATCGGTGTTGACAATCGATCTTTATTTAGTTTATTTTTCCATTTTAAATTAGTATATAAATCAACTGGAGCTGAAACTACTTCAGAAGATAAATCTGTATTATCAATGGATATTAATCGTTTTGTAGGATTATATAATAATCCAGATGAACGTCTTCTTCGACGCATACGATAATAAAGATTATTATGAGGTAGAATATTTGATTTCTGTTGATTTGTAAATGATAATTCTGATTTTGTTGGATTATAAGAATGATTGATTAATTTATTTTGTTTTAATGAATAATTTTTTTGTAGTTGTTTACTAATAGGACATAATAATAAAAACCAAATATTTAATTGTTGTTTAAAATGTTTATTTAATGTAAGATAAACAAAAAAATTAATAGAATAAGTAAATAAACCTAACATATGTGCTATTGAACGATAAATTAAATATGGAGGGCAACATCTCCATCGTTTGCATACATTACCAAAATGTTTATTAAATGCTTCAAATATAGTAATATATGCAAATGCTTGTGGTATTTGTCCAGCTATAAATAAACAAATAATAACAATTAGTAAAATGGTTAATTTACGCTGGGCTGATTGCCATCTAGCACTTGAAGCTTTATTAACTTTTGTAGTACGTAAATTTGCTTTCTGTAATTTAAAACGACCGAGTTTTTTATTGGACACATTTGGTAATAAGTATCTTTGACGACGTTTATTTGCTATATGTATAAAACGTAATAAACAAAAATTGACAGAGCATAAGAATAATAATGGTAAAACTTGTATTAATATAATACGTGTCCATGAGAAAATTTTATAAATGTCTGAATTACCAAATTCTGTAAGCCCAGTGAAAACTTGTATTTGACCCTGATTGTATTGATTATCAGTTGAAGTTAAATTATTGAAATGGTTTGATGTAGTATGTAGCCATTCATTTGTTTTATTATTGTGAATTGGTTTTATTGTTGACTTTTTTATAGGAATATTTTTCGTGACAACTTTTTGAACAAAGAATAGTGGCAAATTAAGTAGTATACTGAAGAATGTTATAAAAATTAGTGAATGTTTAAAGTTACAATTTCGGCAAGCATACAGTTGTGTGCATTTATGTAAGCTACAACGTCCTATCGGTCTATGTAAATGTGAATGATGTAATTTATGTAAGATACATAAAGATTTTGATGTTGGAATATTGGTCAAACTATTTCTGGCATATTGTTTTAATACTGATAAATTACAGCAATTCGTCAGTTTCTTATACCATTTCAAATTATTCACTGTTGTTTGTTGTTCTCGATGCTGTTGCTGTTCCATTATGTTTTCTTCTGCTGCTCCAATTGAATCATTTCTTGGCAATTTTCCATCTTCATCTGAAGTTTCTTGATATTCTATGCTATACATTGAATGGTTTGTATTGTACAATATTTCACTTTTTTGTTTTAAAGGTGATGTGTTAGATGGTTGCATCCTGAATTTATTTTGACATACTGAGCCTATTTGGCTCATAGTTAGGTAGCGTTCTACAGATAGAACTAGAGTAAACCATACACTTGCTGTCTCTGAAATATTTCCAATGGGAAAGAGAATATACGCATTATAGTATAGTAGATAAATACGGAATCTTCTGAACGCTGGATGCTGACAATAAACGAAGTATTTGCCGCATCTACAAGCAGATACAAAAGAAAAGCGGAAGATTTTTATGTAGTTTAAATGAAATAATCCTATCATTATTGTTTGCTGAAATGGGCTTGTTAATTCATAAATTGTAGCCTAAGTTATACACTTTTTATAATATTGGTAAAAGATACTGTTCTGGTGTTGTCCTATGCGGTTGAGTCTATATAAACCGATAATCGATAGCACTACAAGAATTCCACTCATCCACAATCTACCACTCTGGAACCAGAAATACGAGTCGAGTACTTTGCAAACCCTGTATTTCTAAAAACTCAAGTTATTGTATACTGAAAATTTAAGAACGCAAGCCATCATAAATAATAAATCTTTCTTGACACATGGCTGAAACACTTATGCTATAAAGTTGAGTAATAGGATTAAAATGAAGTAATTGTAATTTCTGGACAGCAAAAGATAAAATAACAGTTAATGAGTTAAATGAAAAATTACAATTAAGATTACTCAAAAGTACCATGAACCAATCATTAAATAAATACACAGAATATATCAACTGATGTTTACAAAAATAGTCTCTCGGTTTCCATGGTTTCCTTTTCAAGTTTACTTGTAATACAAACCTCCATAAAAATAAAAACTATTTAATTAAACTTGATCAAATAAATCATGGAAATGGTAAAATTGTTTTAATATATTTAATTAAACGACAAATGAAGAAATGTCAAGTTATGGTTTTTGAAGACAATGTTCCACAAAATAATTGCAAGTTATTTTCAAAGAATATAATTAATGGTTGTTTGTTAATTTTGAAGAATATATTAGTGATTATCAATCGATATACCAGTGTTGTTCGTAGTATAGTCTTACAGTGATTTGGATTTTTCAATATTTCGAAATAAAATCAATATTTTTGTTAAAGAATGTTCTGAAGGTTTCCAGTTTTACCACTTGTTTCACGAGCTGATGTCTCATTTCAGCTGATTATTCGGTATCTACAGATGAATCCAAAGACTCTTCTAATCTAACCTTTCCAAATGAGTAAGATTACTAGTTCACCTATCATACACAGAATCTTGTTTAACGAAATCTCTTCAGTTTCACTGAAGTTGTGCTAAATCATCCGTAGTTTATCGATATAAAGAGCATGATTGGTTTTTGCATTTATAAATTGCTATTTTGATGATTGTCTATGTAAGGTGAAAATTGTTTCAGAATTAATGTTCAATAGGAAACACTAAGGAATAATTGTACATTGCTTCTTAGTTTTCATTACTTGTCTAACTAAGGTCACTCCGTGATTTAAACTATGAAGTTCGACAATCTCCTCAATAATAATTAATTCTGAGAATTAATTCTTCAGGTCCTAATGAAAAAGCCTTGGTAATTAGAGTTCAACCGTGTTGGATGTGAGGCAGATACCAACCTACCGACATTGGGAGATGACTGGCCAAATTTGGAAACTTGATAAAATTAGAAATGTAAACTATCTGATACTGACTCAGTGATTTGGTGGTTAAGCACGAATCTAAAGGGTCATGGACGTGCTCTGCTGTAAGCTATACAAAAGATTAGGTCAGATAATTAACTAAAGTTCGTCCAACTTTGCAACAATTCCTCGTCAAAAAAGTTATCAGTATAAATTAAGTAAACTCAACCTGGAACCATTCTAAGATTACAGACAGTCCCAAGCCCAGATAAAGGAGAAGTGTAGGGCATGGGGTCAGCAACTCCATCTGGTAGTAAAGAGCCTTACTAAAAACATGCTAATCAGGTCAACAAAGTGGCGGATTAGAGAATAAAATTTGAAATGGTGATGGGACATTAATAAAAATGAATAACCTAATGTTTGTCAACGTTTTAGTGTCTAAAATAATAGCTATTTTCAAGTTGAGAAAATGAAATTTTGAAAACATCGTTTATTATAACCCTGATTCACATTTGAAACAGTAACAAAACTAATTCGAGCAGATATCGATGATCGATTTCATAAAGGAGTAAAAATTAGTAGTGTGCCTCGAGATAGTCTGTAAAAATTAAAATAATCAAATATAACCCGCATCTTTCAAGTCACTGGTACGATAGATTCCCTTTGATAAAATAAAATAATATTGTAAATTAGGTGAGATTAGGAAATTCAATACCATATGACCTGACAGCTTGGGTTTTATTTCACATAACTTTCCCACTGATGAAATAAGTGAGGATGAAATGGCCTACAGGTTACAATGATTTTTCAGTTGTTAGCTTGTGATAATAATGCATAATACACTACAGTTAATTAATTCAAGACCACACATAATTTGTTTGTGTAGATCAAAATGTTTTCTGTCGGTATGCACGTGACGCAAGGAATTAAAACTATGTTAGTCCAATGGAGAACTATGCTGATTCAAATGTTAGATACTATCTTCTAATAAATGTTTCATATTAATAAGGTTCTTTAATAACATGGTCAAATAATTTCAAAATATATATAGTAACATCTGCAAAATGTCATCTGTCTTTAAACATATGTATTTCTGTACTAGCAAAACAGAATGTAATTACTTGAAGTTAATTGTTATGTCTCGAAGGTTGAACGCTTTATTCGGATCCTAGCTATTCGAATAACCCCAGGCTAGCACTACTCAGCGACTAGAAAGACCAGAGAGAAGACACGAGTATCAGAGAATCACTTTACTACAAGGTTCATTTATGTACAGAAAAACAGGGGTTTTATAGTAATTAAAAAGACCTTGAGATTCCATAGTAGCAATATGTTTAACAGCCAATCAGGACCTCATTATTTTAGTAGCATAGCTTCTAACTAATCGCTGATTGGTTGGACTCTTTATGAGCCTCTCTGGAGGCTCTGATAGAGTTTATTGTAAGCCGACCTAACACCTCCCCTTTTTTTGAAGATTCGAAAATTAGGTTCTGATTTTTTAAAAAATTATCTGTAAGTTGAAATTCTGCAACATTTCCTCCCCCACGAAATAATGTTGGATCTTCATATCTCCAATTTACAATTAATATGACTTTATTTAAACTACATTTCTCGTATTGAATGCAGAATCCATTAGAAATGAATAGATGATGATGAACGATATTTGATTTTAGGTCTTCGGAATTTGGCTTTTCTGAAACATCTCCATCAAATTCATTAAGATTTTCACTGGAGGATGACACTTGTCATAACTCACTGATGGACTACTGAAAATTTTTTCATAATCACTTGTGGGATTTCATGATTTATCCATCAGATCACGCAGAAAAAAATTATTTGTTCATCGTAAATTAGATTAAGTTCATGTGAGTCAGTTCATTAGGATATCATATTAAATAAATGTTATGTAAGTCAATAAGCAGAATTACCTATGTAGTATTTTATGATTTGCAATTCGATTTCAAAAGATTTATATATATATATATATATATATATATATAACATCATTATATAGTAGATCTATCATTTACTTGAAACATACATTGAATGTACAAATATATGATCAATGTACTAATTATTATAAGCAAAGATAGATAGTTGCTAGCAGTGGAATCCACGACGCGCTTTTCGTCCTATTTGGGACTCGTCAGCTGGATGTATCTACATTTCAGATTTGATGTTCACTCTGGGACTCGAACCCAGTACCTTTCGCTTCGAACAACAGTGCGTTATCCACCCAGCTACTGAGTCCTGATAGCCACTTGCTTGTGGAATGGGGTGAAGTTTACATTTACATGCTAATAAGAGACTGATCAATAGCAGTCCTAACACATCAATGGAAAGATTCAAACAAACAATACTAAATGAATATACCAATTAGTATAAAGTTACTGTTTGAAAGCTAAATAAATCTTGTTCTCTAGTTTAGAGAGTAATATCATTTGCGAATTTTGCATTAACTGACGTACATAATCCATAGATTCAAGAAAAATTAAATTCTTGATATTTTGTAATGCATATTATGATAATTTTATTACTAAAAAAGTTATACCTGTTAACAGCCTTGTGTGATATCTATGCTTAATCATATGCTAAATGCTATCAAGATTTCAATGAAAGATTAGACAATCATTTACAAGTAAGCAAACATGAAAGTTTGGTTAGATTATTGTAGCAAATTTGAGCGAATTTTAAATTAACCTGAGATACTAAAAATAATTTTCACCCATTCATAAACTAGTGTCACAGGAGAATGATTTGTGACGGAAAACGAAAAACAGTTGGAAAATGCAAACAACTTTCATTTCGGAAGGGGTTTTTGTGGAGATTTAGTATTTGCATAGTTGAAAGCATGAGTCAATTGAAGCTAGACCACTAAGAAAAACCTGGAAGCACTGGAATGCCGTTTCGTCCTATTGGTGAACGGTTGCTCTACTTCGTGGATTGGTTGAAGTTAGACATTAACACCATTGGATGCTGGCTCAGTGGTCTAGAGGTTAAACGCTCCGGAGCGAGACTGATAGGTCCTGGGTTCGAATCTCGCGAGGCGAGGTCGTGGACGCGCACTGCTGAGAAGTGCCTCAATAGGACAAAACGGCCATCCAGTGTTTCTAGGTTTTGTACGGTGGTTTGGCTTCAATTGACTCATGATCTCAACTATGCAAACTTTCATTTCATTAATATACTATTCAAAATAGGTTATTATGTTTTAAAGTCAAACATGTTTATCAGAGAAATTCATCTATATGACTAAAAATCATTTTCACAATGGAAAAATTATATCGACGCCAACAGTTTTTCAACCGCCCTTACATTTTCTTCACATTATTATTATGAACTTTACTATGCGGACCATTAAAATGCTTCTGGTGGATAACAAATTCATATTAGTATCGAAATATCACAAGACAACCTTAAGGTTTTCAGTTATCACAATAAAGGGTATAGCTTGGCTGAACTTGAGTTTTGTTCATACTATTAAAGGTAAACAGCTTTCAGTCTTTCACTTTCTGAAGATATATCTTTAAAAGATTTCTATTTTAAATTCTAAAAACCCATTTGCCTAAAAGCTATTTACTTAGTACCTATCTAACTATCTTCTG